CCAATCCAGAAACTGAATTTTTTACAGATGGCAGTAGCTTTATGGCGAATGGGGAACAAAAGGAAGGGTACATCGTGGTAACCCCACAAAAGGAATTTGAAGCACGAGCATTGCTGCCCAATACAGAATCACAGAATCATCTAGGTTGGAAAGGACCCTGGAGATCATCTAGTCCAACTGTTCGTCTAGCACAGTTCCCACCTACAGCATATCCTTAAGCTCTGAATCGACCCTACTCTTGAACACCTCCAGGGATAGGGACTCCACCACCTCCCTGGGCAGCCCATTCCAACGCCTAACAACCCCTTCTGGAAAGAAATGCTTCCTAATATCCAGTCTGAACTTTCCCTGGTTCAACTTGAGGCCATTAACTCTTGTCCTGTTACTTTCTACTAGGCTAAAGAGGCTCATCCCCAGCTCTCTGCAACCTCCTTTCAGGTAGCTGTAGAGGATGATAAGGTCTCCCCTCAGCCTCCTCTTCTCCAGATTAAACACCCCCAGTTCCCTCAGCCGCTCCCTGTACAACCTGTGCTCCAGACCCTGCACCAGCTTCATTGCCCTTCTCTGGACACGCTCGAGTCATTCAATGTCCTTTTTTGTAGTGAGGGGCCCAAAACTGAACACAGGAATCGAGGTGCGGCCTCACCAGTGCCGAGTACAGGGGTAAGATCCCTTCTCTGTCCCTGCTGGCCACGCTATTGCTGACACAAGCCAGGATGCCATTGGCCTTCTTGGCCCCCTGGGCACACTACTGGCTCCTGTTCAGCCGGCTGTCAATCAACACCCCCAGGTCCCTCTCTGACTGGCAGCTCTCCAGCCACTCCTCCCCAAGCCTGTAGCGCTGCTGGGGGTTGTTGTGGCCCAAGGGCAGCCCCCGGCATTTGGCCTTATGGAAACTCCCCCAGTTGGCCTCAGCCCATGGCTCCAGCCTGTCCAGGTCTCTCTGCAGAGCCTCCCCACCCTCGAGCAGATCAATACTCCCACCCAACTTGGTGTCATCTGCAAACTGACTGAGGGTGCACTCGATCCCCTTGTCCAGATCATCAATAAAGATGTTAAACAGGAGTGGCCCCAAAACCGAGCCCTGGGGGACACCACTCGTGACCGGCCGCCAGCTGGATTTAACTCCGTTCACCACAACTCTCTGGGCCCGGCCATCCAGGCAGTTTTATACCCAGCGAAGTGTGCATTTGTCCAAACCTTGAGCAGTCATTTTTGCCAGGAGAATGCTGTGGGAAACAGTGTCAAAAGCCTTGCTAATGTCAAGGTAAACAACATCCACAGCCTTTCCCCCATCCAATAAGCAGGTCGCTCTGTCATAGAAGGAGATCAGGTTTGTCAGGCAGGACCTGCCTTTCATAAACCCACGCTGACTGGGCCTGAGCATCTGGTTGTCCCTCATGTGTTGCATGATGGTGTTTAGGATGAGCTGCTCCATCAGCTTCCCGGGCACCAAAGTCAAGCTGACAGGCCTGTAATTTCCCAGATCATCCTTCCAACCCTTCTTATATATGGGTGTCACAATGGCCAATTTCCAATTAGTCGGGACCTCCCCGGTCAGCCAGGACTGCTGGTAAATGATAGAAAAGTGGACTGGCGAGCACCCCAGCCAGCTCCTTCAGCACTCTTGGGTGTATCCCATCTGGTCCCATAGACTGGTGTGTGTCTGTGTGATGCAGTAGGTCACTGACTGTCTCCTGGATTGCAGGGGGGTCGTTCTCCCAGTCTCTGTCTTCTGGCTGTGGAGGCTGGATTTTATCAATACAACTAACCTTGCTATTAAAGACTGAGGCAAAGAAGGCATTAAGCACCTCAGCCTTCTCCTCATCACTTGTTACCAAATTTCCTCCTGCATCTAGCAGGGGATGGAGACTCCCTGGACTTTCTTTTGCTACTGACATACTTACAGAAACTTTTCTTGTTATCCTTGATTGCAGAGGCCAAATTAATTTCCAGTTGAGCTTTAGCCCTTCTGATTTCCACCCTTCATAGCCTCACAGCCTCTGTAATCACTGTGTCTGGCTAGTCCCTTCTTCCCAAGGCTGTAAACTCTCCTTTTCTCCCTGTGTTGCAGCCAAAGCTCCCTGTTCAGCCAGGGTGGTCTTCTCTGGCGTTGGCTTCTCTTGGAGCACCTGGGGACCGCCTGCTCCTGAGCCATTAACACTTCATTCTTAAAGAGCGCCCAGCCTTCCTGGGCCCCTTACCCTTCAGGACACTCTCCCAGGGGGTCCTTTCAAGCAGGTGCCTAAACAAGACAAAGTCAGCCCTTCTGAAGTCCAGGATGTCAGTCCTGCTTAGCTCTCTCCTGGCCTCTCTAAGAATAGAGAACTCTATTATTTCATGATCGCTGTGCCCTAGTCGGCCTCCAACCTCCACATTGTCCACCAGCCCTTCTCTGTTCACAAAGAGGAGATTCAGTAGGGCACCTTCTGTGGTCAGTTTACTCACCAGCTGCATCAGGAAGTTGTCTCCCACACATTCCAGGAATCTCCAGGACTGGTCTCGTTCTGCCATGTTGTATTTCTAGCAGATGTCTGGGCAGCTAAAGTCACCCACAAGAACAAGGGCAAGCGATCGTGAGATTTCACCTAAGTGCCAATAAAATATCTCGTCCATCTCTCTGTCCTGGTTGGGTGGCCTATAGTAGACTCCTACTACAACATCTGCTCTGATTCTAATGCAAAGACACTCAACCCTGTCTTCACTACACCTGTGCTCAAAGCAACCATAACAGTCCTTAACATACAGAGCCACCCCACCACCTCTCCTTCCCTGTCTGTCCCTCCTAAAGAGCTTGTACCCATCAGTTGGCACACTCCAGTCATGGGAGACATCCCATCATGTTTCTGTAGTAGAAACAACATCATAATACCTCTGCTCAAAAGGCAGAAATCACAGCTCAAACCCAAATATTAGAGCTTTCTAAGGGAAAAGGGGTAAACACACCCACCTGATACAAACAGGGCTTCTTGGCTGCTGAAGTACAGCAGCTGTTGTCTGCTCCTGTGCAGTCAACAGCTTCACGGTAGCTGGGGCCTTTGGCCAATGGAGCCACTACTGATCACACGTCAGATCTGGCTGGGTATAAATGGAGTCCTCTGTGGGAGCCATTTTGAGTTAGTTCTCCTTGGAGCAGTGTGCTGTGGTCAAAGACTCTCCTCGTGGTTCCTTGGCCACCCAAGGAAACTCCCTGAGGTGACTTGGGTCAGGACGCTGCCCTGAGAAGTTCCTCCAGGATGAGAGCCCTCACTTGTTAGGTGAGTGATAGAGGAGTTTGGGTTGTCATTAAACCCTAGGAAGAGGTGGTTTGTTGTCTTCTCATGGACATTCAAACCTGCTGTCATATGGTTGCAGACGGCTAGTTAATTGTGTTGATAATAAATATTTCATTTTTTGGTTGGTGTTTGTTTATTTGAGATCCTCTGTAACAACTAGATTGGCAAGGAGGATTGTGAACATGCTTAAGTGACTCTCAGCTGGGGTGTAGAAAAATACATATATCATACTAACTGTTGTTTAGGCTTGTGTGTTTGACAAGTAGAACATCTGTGTTTATGTAAGATAGATTCCTGACCTTCTGTGGAGGACATCAAAGCACAAATCCTTGATAAACAGGTGAAAAGAGCAGGGTCAGCAACTCTCTAGCATGGACCAAGCTCAGCAGTGCCTGCATCCCTGCTTCTGGGCCCAGGGGCTGCTTAGGGATCCCCCCATTGGCAAGCTAACAAAAATAAATATACTCTTTGCATTTTATCCGTGGGTTTGTGATTGTTCCTGCATTGTGGCTGTGCTGACTCACACAGCCATTGTGACTACCCCCACTGGCATCTCATACGCCCTCTGCTCAAGGGACACATGCCAGTCTGCCCTGTGAGGGGATGCTGAGAGAAATAAGTTTGTTAGGGTTAGGGGAGACCTCATCACCATGCTCCAGTATTTAGAGGGTGCTACAAAGACGATGGAAACTTTCTTTTTACAAGGACTCACATGGAAAAGACAAGGAGTAATGGGTACAAGATTCCAACTGGACACAAGAGGAACATTTGTCACAATCAGCCAGTGGAATAATCTCCCCAGGGAGGTGGTTGATTCCCCAACATTGGATATGTTTAAGATTCAGCTGGAGTGGGCGCTGGCCCAGCTTGCCTAGACCATGGTCTTGCCAGAAGGGTTGGACCAGGTGATCCCTGAGGTCCCTTCCAACCTGGGATCCTCTGATTCTGTGATTACATCTCTGCCCTGGCCACAGCCAAGCACTCGCCTGGGGTGTCCGGCTGGATGACAGCATCTGCTGATTTCAGAGGTTGTATTTCACTGCGGGAACTGAGAGTCCAAGCGTTTGGAGTTACCTGGGAACTAACCACATTCTGAAGCAAGCCAGCAGCCCTGTGATGCCAGCAGCTGCTCATCCTTTGAGAGGTACATGTGCTTCTGGGCTCAATTCTTCTGGAGGCTGCTCCGCCACAAAGCAGACAATGCTCTACAAGTTGAAATACCCATTTTATTTAATGCTGTAGCATTAGGCAAGCGCCGCACCTTTGAAGAGACCGTGGTGTTTTGGCTTCCACAAGCCCTGCCTGCCATAGCCCTCTTGTGAGTCAGTAGGCAAGAAGCAAAAAAGAAACAGAAAAAAAGCCATCCCCCAAACCACCTGTGAAAAGCGGCCTCTAAACCCCTTCTTCTGCCTTACGACGGACTTCTTAGACGGGGCGGATGGACCTTCCCCCGGGGCGCCGCTCCAGGCGCACAGCGCCTCTACCGCCCACAGACCAAGGCAGCGCGGCCCGGCGGGGGAGAGGCGACCGAGGGAGTTTTTCTTTTCAGTCGCTCCCTGGGCGCGCCCGACACGCGTGACCCCCAGAAGACACAAGTGTCACGATCCCCGCTCCCTCCCGGCACGTCGGCGAAAACGGGGAGTGGAGCTGGGAGGGGGGGGCGGTGTGGCGCGTCCAGGTGGCTGTGCCATCCGCTTATCGGGGCTGCCGGGCCGGCCCCCGCTCAAGCTTTTAATTTTAATTTGCCCAACTTGTGGACAAATGCACAGGCTCAGGCGTTCATCCTGTGGTGAAGAGCAATAAGGAAATTGTTGGAACGCTTCAGGATGAGCTGGTCAGTAGCCTTTGATAGGAATGTTTCAGGCTATCCACTTTGTGCTTTGGCTCTATTCCTTTATTGCTTGCGGGAGGTTTGAGTTCACTGGATAGAATCTTTCTGTGTGGATTAATAGTGTTATTCTGGTCTCTTATCTTACAGATGAAATCACACCAGTATAAAATGAAAATACCTTGACATATGTTAACTTTAAAATTCCGGGCCTTATTTTCCTTGAAACTGGATTTTCGGATATGGTGTTAGAAGATGTTACAGAATTGTAAGTGTTCTGCCTCTTGTTGCTCTTTCGTGTTGGTTTCCTGGTGCAAAATGTTGTGTAAGGTCTATGAACTAAGTGGTTTTATTTTTTTGAATACTTGCTAGCTAAATAGCATATTTTTATATATAATATTATAATTATATGTATTATGAGTTATATTAATATAAATCTTAGACTGCAGCCTTGAGGGTGATCTCTTCCAGACAGCCATGTCATAGAGTAGTTCTTGCATGATTTGTAATTGTAGATGATTCCACAATTTGTAGCCTTAATTTTGCATAGGTTCTGTGTTGAACTTTCCAGTAGTTTGTTTGATTTTACATTTCCTGAAGGCCTAGGCAAAGATTTAAAAAGCTAGCAGACTGAAAGATGGGTATGTGTTACTTCATTATGCCATGTTGCTCCGTAACCTGTTTTGAGTATCAGTGGTATTCAAGAAATTGCCGAGATTTAGAGGGTGAATTTGTATTTTTAGGTACTGAGCAGAAAAGTACAGTGGATCTTTACGCAGGTGGCCAGTTGATCAAGCTTATGCTGCAGTGTGGCTGATTTATTGGTTAGTTCCAACAAATATCATCTTAATGCAGAGATTTGTATTAGTTCTGTAATCAAAACTGTAATCACTGTCCCTGGTCATGTGTTCATCCTTACTTTACTTTGCTTCAGTGAGAATACACCTGAGGGCAGAAGAATTACAAAGCTGGACCAGATTTTGAAAAATGGAAATAACAGGGGTAAGTCATTGTTGTTAAAGGGCTGCATGCATTTATTTTCTGTGCTTCTAAATTGGTCAGTTTGCATTCAGCTGCCTCGAGCAGAGCTTTCCAGACAGTTCCATTACAGAAGCTACTTTCGAGTAGCTTGCGGGGGGGGTCCTGTGTATGAATGATGCTGGAAAAGCAATCTTACTGCCTTACTCGGTGTACTTGACAGTAAATGGGAAGAGATCACAGGCCAAATTTTATTTTGGTGAATGCGTTTCTGATCTTCAGGTATGCAAGGGAATTGCTGATGTTGCTGCCCACTCTGGAGGCTGGTTCGAACAGTGGCTTGTAACTCCTGCGTGTTTGCCTGAGTAAGAATGTAGGGTAGGTTCCATCTGTGTTTCATCCGTTATCTTCTGTGTAAATGTGTTTGCATCAGTTTGGATGCCTACAAGCTCATCGAGTCATTTGGTGATTGAGATGCCATGTGATGCCCAGAGAGCTGTATCTTTACGTGCTCTGCAAAAAAATCTGGAGGTCTGTTGGATGATACCAAATTAGAAGCATGATGATTTTCAGTTTATCATGTGCTGATAAGGAGGAATTAAATGTGGAATGGCTGGGAAACAACGGACAAGTTATGAGCGATCCAGACTGAGTGGCCCCACTGTAATCAGGCTGTAGCTGTTGTGAAGAACACCTGCAAGGCCAAGGGGCTGAGAAACTGCGTGAGTTGCAAAAAGATAAGAAAGCCGGACTGTGGAAAACAAGATGTTTGCCTAACAGAAGAACTGTCATTTTAGAGTAAAGGTTCTTTTGGCTGCATCTGTTCTCCCGTGATACAAAAACTTGACAGCTACTGGGGACAACTACTACTTCAGGAGAATCTCTCTGGTGGAATGGAGTGCTGGACATGCTTTGCCTTCCCATCACCGGCAGAAGAAGGAAGAGTTGAAAAAGAGGGCTCAGGAGCAAGAGACAGCAAGGCAGTTGCTGTACCAGATCCTTTTGCCTTACTTTATCTGACAGAACGGCTGCCTTCTGCTCGCTGGTTCTTAGCTGGAAATACAGTGAGAGCTTCTTGCTGTAGCCTCTTCAAGGGGAAAGACTGCCTCCTCTCTTCCAGGGGGTGTGCTGCTTTTGACCCCCTTGTTCTGAGTGGAGGATCTGCAGTTGTCATGGTTAGATCGCACGGGGACAGTCTATACCTTTGACTCCTGGAATGTTTTTTTCATTTCCTTCTTCAACTTTTTTAATAGATCAATTAAATTGTTTTTTAATTTTTTTTTTTTTACCTTTGAATGGAACATCATCTGTTGGTTTTGGCCCCAAACACTTTATTTCTTAGAAAGAAGTTGAGTCTTTATGTCAGAACACTGGAAAGATTTCTGGCCAGTGTAGTACTATTTTGTTGGGGGTTTTTTGGATAAGATTCTACCTATATACATTACAGTGTGTGCACCTTAATTTCTTCTTCAGCTGGTATTTTGAAAACAATCTTAAGCTGAGGAGTGGTTTCATACTTGGGAGAGAAAAAGAATTTTGCCTGGAAGTGTCTGGACCAGGAATCAATGATACTGCCAAATCAGCTGTTTTCTTCACAAGTGAAGATGAACCTTTTCAATAAGACTTAACTAAATGAAACACATAAGTGAGGAAGAATCTATTACTGCACACAAAGGAAGGAATATTAAACTGAAGTTTTTACATAAAAATTCACTGTGCTTGTCCTTGCAGTTTGAGACTGAATCCAAAGTGGAGGTGTTTGCCATGTCAAGTCCAGAGGCATTGTTGAAGGTATGTGCAGAAAGCAACTAATTCTTGCTCCGAGGTTGGATTAGCAGTTCCTACAAGGAGCAAGGGCAGTTTTAAGAGTCAAGTCCTTCCCTCTGTGCTGGAGAAGTCATCAGTACCATTTAGACATCTAAACAGTTGGCCGATACCAAATCTAAAGCTCATAGTTTCCTGTGGCAAAGGTTTAACTGTACTTTGGGGAGAAGGTGCTGCCTTGGAGATTAGAAGGGAATTACTCGCCAGTAGAGTAGCTGTACATAGTGTCACCTCCTTGCCTTCTGCTGGCTATAGGACCCCTGCTAACCTGAAGAAAAGCAAAGAAATTCAGAAAAGTTTTCTCCACTAATCAAAGTAACAGGAGAGAGTAGTTTTACAAGGGTGTCATTTCTCAGCTACCCCTCACAGGGTTTCTGTCTCACACTAAACATTTAGCTGCAAGCGAATGATTGTTCTCTGCTGAAATCTGGGTGTCATCTGCATCTCGACTGGGATCGAGGGTGAAACTGTCTGGTTCTGGGTCCTTGGTCACAGATATCACTGGGAAGCTCATCAAGAAGGGTGGGTTTAACTCAGTATGTGTTCCCGCTTGACCAACAGGATACGACACTTGCTGCTGACTCTGCTGATGTTGTGGATGTATTTGGTGGTTGTGCACGGCTGTAGGTCAGGAATGCTTTTGGTGGCTCAGTGTGGAGCCTTCCCTTTTTGGAGAGATGCTGTGGCAGGCAAGCTTTCCCTTCCCCGCAGCAGAAGGGAGGGGAAGGGGGAGGCGGGGCTGTCGGGGAAGGGCGGCCGGTGCTTTTCCAGTTGCCCCTGGAGGTGGGAAGGCGCCTCTGGAGAGGGGCTGCTCCAGCCGCGCAGCTGCAGGC